CCGGAAGAGGAACCCGATCTATAGTGACCAAACCCTCGTGAACGATTTTATTTGTATACGCCAGGCTATCATCTGTCCATCTCACACCTTGAGCCAGTCGGCCGCAGCGTCGGCAAACTGTTCGGCGTGGCAAACGACTAGCTGGCATTCTTAGTACATGACCTAGTCATCTAAGTCTGTGCAAATGTAGTGACTGAACGAAAGAACTCATTTAAAGTTCAGTGCCAAACACCCAACTTCTAATCTATTCGTTGCCCGCTCGCTGGTGCCACTCGATACAAGCGGTTGAACACAAACATCGGTGGCCAAGTACCTGAAAACGGTTCACGTCCTCTACCCTGAGCGGCCAAGTTTCGCTGCCGTAAAGTAACACAACCTTCACTGTTGTCCGACGTACGCGACCTTTAAGCTTCAGAGAAATACCTCTCTGTCGTCGTAGGTGCCTCAGATTAGCGAACACCGCCCTAGCCCTGGAAATACGCGCTTCTGTTTCATTCCCTACAGTTCCGCCGCTGATGCGACGGCGGGCTGAAACATTGCCAGGACGCCCAGACCTAGACAGAGAACGATTATGGTTCTAAACAAAAGCATTTGACTCAAAAGCTTGTACCGTAAGGTAGCGTGTGTGCGGCAGTGTACCAGAACTGGCACATTTCTCGGAAAAAGATGCCAACCTTCTTCCAACCCCCAACCTGGAGAACCAGGAGACGGGTTTGTCAGACCTCTACCTATTGACCTGACTGGTGCGAGTGACTCTATCGGTGTGGTGGCCACACCGTCAAGTTTAGCCCAACAGGTAACCGAGATGCGCAAGCCATCACAGCGCGTCAAGGTCCAGTCTCTTTGTGACGGAAAGCAGGTGTGCCGATTGGGATTCGAACTCAGGTCGCAACCGTGGGAAGATTGCATGATACCCCTACACTGCCGGTGCTATTTTACTAGGATCATCATTTTCGGCTCTGTTACTTCGTCTGTGCTCCCAAATGTTCTTTCAAAGCCAGAACCTTTTTTTAAAAGAAACTTTCAGAAATTAGTCCTCTTAACTCAATTTGACCTATCTGACATTTGTTTCTCTTTTTATAGTGTATGCTGTTTTACAGTTCACGTTTTCATAGGTACGATACTCAGCTTGACGGCTTTCTTGTCGTGTTTCTTTGTTCTACTGCGTTTTATCGGTTTGTGCTTCGTCTTTTTGTAAACGCGTTATTCAACCAAGTTTGGCCTCCGTGTGTCGGATGTCAAAATAACAGCACTCCTGTATCACTCAGTGTTTGTTTTTCCGTAAGCGAATTCATGTTGGTTTCACCCTCTTTTTTGTCAGAGAATAGACGCGATACCACGGTAACTGATTTCATGGTGCTGTACAATTTTAGGATCACTTGTTGTTCGACCATTGTCTGTGGATTTTGTACTTCATTTTTCCATTCGGAAATCCTGTTTTACTGACACATTGTGGGTGAAATTCTTTGCTTGCCAGCTTTAATATCCTGCGCGACTATCATATGATCAGAATGTTCACTTACGTAACATTGAGCCATCTGTCCTTTTCATGAGTTTCAAACAACCGTTTTTGTTCTACCCGTTGGAGACCTCTTCTGGCTAGGGTACAAGTGGTCAGTACTTGTGCATGAAATCCGTCGTGCACGAGGACTAACCTGAGTAAAAAAGATTAGTTTCGCTTGCTACAGAAGATGGACACAATTGCGATGGGCGTGTGAATGTCAAACGATTTTTACTACACATTGTAAACAAGAGAACTCATGAATACTCGTGCTAAACTGATGGTTTGTGGTAATTTGGTGCATTGTTAGGTGCAATCAGGATTTACTATCAGCGTTGTGCCAACAAAATATTGCACTGGAACTCAAATTGGTAGGTTCAGCCTGTGAAACGGTTCACATCTCCGTTCTAAGGGTTGCACTACCGTTATAATCAATAAAACAAACACGAAGGTGAACACATGCTGCAGTTTGCAGAACAAAATGATCTGCCACCCGTTCTGTGCATTCATTTAATATATTCTCCTGGTCTTGTTTTTGGCGATGATGGTTTTATCCACGCTTGCGATATAGATTGATATTGGGCTCTAGTACACCATTGTTTTCTCATTGTGGTGAGAGCCATTCGTTAGTTTAGCAGGCTCATTGTTTGATGCATCCATGCTGCAAGTAGCGCTGCTATCGCTTTACATTAAAAACTTTCACTAGAACTCAATCGATTACGTGCTATTGAAAAGTGGCTAGCCAGCAGATTGAGTTAGACCAATAACAATTATCGCCGAGAAATCCGGCGAGTTGCCCATGTGCGTTAGGCCAAATGTTTTCACGAAGGTTGGCCTATTGTACACTGGCTTGTGATGTTAAATGAACAACCGAGCCATCTAGCGACCCTTGAATCACCTTCCGAGCGTCTTTTGGTTGTTTTTTCCCTTCAGAGATGTTTTTCAGTACTATTTTCCAGAAGCGGTTGCTACCTGCATCAGACAGCCTTTCAGGGTACATACACATTGACGACGTTGTGTTGATCTACAGTATAGCCCTGGAAGAGTACGACGCACATCTCGGTTTGTTTCTACAACGATGCGCACTAGAAAATTTCATGTTTAACAACGGAAGAGTTGAAATATATAAAAATGCGATCGTCTTCCACGGTCATATTTTCACTTCAGGAAGCATCAGGTCGGTTAAAAATAAGGTAAACCTAATATGAGAAGTGACAGCAAAATTATAATGGATACTTTTGGTTTTTTAGCTAAACGGTTGACTGCTTGATTAGTTTCCTACCCAGGCTATCTGAAGCCGCTATGGCATCTGACAACTAATCTATAAAGACAGCGGATCTGGAGGAGGGGCCGGCATACCGAGTTTAACGGATCCAAACATCCGTTGTGACGCCAGTTTTAGTCGTTTTTCATCCCAAAACTACCAAAGGATGTGCGATGTGGCGACATCCAAAGTTGTTCAAGCGCAGTACTTACACAATAAAGATGGCCTGTGGATTTTTGCAACCGTTCGTTCACATAGACTAAGGAACAGTGTGCTAAGAAAGAAAAGTGTCGGTTGACAGTGACACAAGCCATGAAACACTTCAACGACCTAACGTTTAGCAGAAAAAGACCTGTTTACGTGAACCATAAACCGCCATTCTTGGCTGCAAGCAAGCCACTTCACGCTATTCCACGTCTCCAACGAATGCTAATCCGTTTGTAAAAATACAATTCTGGTGTGGTCTGTTGATCTGGCACGCAAATGTTAGCTGCTTACCCTCCGGAAGCTAAAAAGAGTTGCAGTGAGCCGACGATCATTTGCTGGAGGTTTGACAGCTGACTACAAGTACCCTCACGTGTGCGTTGATACGCGAAACAATCTTTAGCGGGCGACCTTGGTAGAAGGTTGCGGTGGATTTGCCCCCAAGAAAACAGAAGGAACTATCTAATCATGGTGGGCTATCTTTTGCTAATTACAATCAGTGAGTAGCAAGTTAAAATGCTGGGTTAGTTAACACAAGTTACTTCGGTTCAATAATTTGCTGGGTGACGGAAATTTAGACTGTTACTGACTTAACCGATGTAACGGGAAAGTCGGGGATAGCCGTAAAAGAATAGAAAGAGTTTTTGTTCAGAGTCAGCTGAAGTCACCAACCGTATCTCATGTCACAACACTCACTCGCATCACGCCAACAACACACACTAACCTGAGTTTGGTTCAACCTTGCTCAGCCGTGGAACGGGAATTTTGTTACAGCCAAAATATGCATGATTGTTTTCTTTTTCTCGGTTGTTTCAAGTTTTTTTTTAATCATTTTACAATCGTTTCATTTTTATCGCGACCAGCGCAACTTGAATCGCTACGTTGTTTCACTCGGCTGACAGCCGAGTATGTTTTTTAATACTTATCTTCAAGGTTTTATGAAATTCACAGACCATCCTGTAGTTCCAGTCTTAATTATTGTACTATAATTTCATTTCATTCATTACTATAACATTCATGAGTCTGGCCGAAAAGTATAGTGGTTCAGGCCACCGCTCACCTCAACAGTAACGTGGGATATCTTAGAAGAAGAAACGTTACTGGAAAGTTCAGTAATAATAAAAGACCAGGCGCAAAAACTGGAAATGGTATGGATCCAGGTACACCAATGACTGCAGCACATCGTCATCTCGGAGAGCGTTTGTAACCAGCGATTTGCGTGATCACGAAGACTCCAGTCACGCAGGCAACACCTACCCACTTTGTACAGTGGAGCAGTCACGGTCTTCTTGTTTAGTGACTACTTTGTTCCTTGACCGCCACGTGTTCGTACCCAACTGTCGGTGGTCTCACTGCATAATACCCCGTAAGCTAAGTGCACAGCTGGTGTGCGAAGTGAGTGACTCGATCACCGTAGTTTGTGTAACACGGTCAGCTGACCAATTGATCACACATCCCGAGCGTTCGGGAATACGCGCCGGCGAACGGCCGTATTGCTCACGCGATCAGTCCACCTAATGAGGGTTAATTGACGGAGACGACGATGGTCAAACACAGCAGGTTTGTTGATATCTTCGTTGCGAACAGGCCACATCTACGAGCCATAGAGCAAAATAGAACGCACACAAGCATTATGCACCCTTCTTTTCAGCCATAACCGAACATCTTTTTGATATCACAGCTGATGCAGGCTGGCAAAGGCAACTGGTGCCTTTGTTATCTCATAAATACTATTACAAATTGACGAGACAGTGCTACCCAAGTATGTAGAACTATCCGCAGTCCCAAGCGGATTACCTGCAATGAAGGTGCGAAATGCATACCATACAAACGATCCCGGTCACTCTCTTTGCTCAGCATGGTCTGTATGTCTGGAATCGAACACCGCTTGTTCGTGGGGTTTATCGACGCGACAGAAATCCAGTTTTGTCGTATTTGTACAGTTTCTTCGGAACATATCCCTTCCTGTTCAATTTTGTCATGGACGACATTCTAGAGGGTGCGCTTCGGGAATACAGTGGGCTTGGTGTTGAGCTTCTTCCTGGCGCTAGGT